TCCTGCCCCAGCTTCTTCAACGATTCCTTCCAATCCCACAGGGTTTTCTCACTGAGATGAGTAGGGGTGACACAAATGATAGAAAACCCAACTCAATTGTCTCAGCAAAAGGGGAAATGTATTGGTCGATATAAGTCCAATAGAGTCTCCTTCAGGATTGGTTGGATCCAGGGGAAATCTGTCATCCTCTCCTTTCTGGCTTGTTTTCCCTGATGTTGGCTCCCTTCTCAGGCAGGATCTGCCCTCTGGTGCAGCACAGTGGCCTACTTCTGGCTTATGTCATGTCCTTTCATCAGCCCAGCAGAAGGGAGAGATTCTCTTTCCTGACTCTCATTGGCTCATTTTGGGTCATGTGCCTATGCCTGAGTCAATCACCATAGCCTGGAGTTGAGATATCCTTGTTGGATTAGATCCAGATCATCTGGCAGTGGGTCAGCCTCTCCCAAACCCCAGTGGAGTGAGACTAGAGGAGTTTTGGTTCCCAGGGGAATCAGTAGTTGACTGAGGAAGAAGGATGGATGCCAAGCAGCAAGTAATGGATTTCCACTCTCCAGTTATATTTCTAGGGATATTAAATGTCTCTTCGTTGAGCCGTGGGCAACCACCAGCTGCTCTGTCCTTTACTGCAACATCAGTTGTGTCAGAGCTGTAATTAGAGGCCGGGACTCCCAGCTCTCAGACCATGCTCTTCATGTCATTTCCCTCCCACTTTCTGCAGGTGTGTTCAGCAGGCAAATCCCCCCTGGGCATCCCTGGACAGTGCCACCTGCGGCAGGCCTGCCTCTCATCTTGGCCAAAAGCAAGTCTCAGCCTCTTAGTCTGAGAATCAGGGAGTTGTTTCCTATTGGCCTTGCCATCTGATTTGCTATGACCTTGAGAACACTTTTCACATCTTTGAGCCTCAGTGGTATATTTAAAAACACCTGTAAAATGGAGCTAATGGTGACACTCACCTCCCAGGGCTGTGAGAGGCCAAAATGAACTTGTGATTTGTAAATGAGTGTAAAAATGGAAAGAATAATACTAACCATTACTATTGCTACCTGCTTCTTCCTCTGGGGAAATATTTTTTTCTTCAGCCTACCACTTTTTCCTCTGTTCCCCCCAGGGAAGCAGCAATTTGCTCATGGCTTTGATTGAGATGAGTTTTGATGGCTTGGAAGCTTTCAGAGCCGCCCACTCTTCCTCCTCCCATCCTGCTGAGCTGACAATTTCGTATGACATCAATTCCTCTGACAGCCGTGTAAACAGATGGTGGTCTCCGCTGCCCGGGGTGCTGGGGAGCGATACCATGGTAACCTGCTAAACTGTGACAGGTGCCAGGACGGTGGGAAATCCAGGACCTTCAGACACACATGCACGTGGCTCCAGCAGCGGGCCCCAGGTTGTGGGTATATCTCAGACACAGGGAGTCAGGGCTGGCCCATGTGGCAGCAAGGTCATGGGCTCAAGTGCGGACCTTGCCCCTTCCTAACCATATGATCATGGCTGAATTGCTTCCTCTCTCCTGGCCCATGTGGGACAATTAGCCTCATCTCAGAGTAGCAAGTGTATGGATCTGAATGTGCCTAACTCTGGGGTGGGTACATTGCTGGTGCCCAATAAACGTTTGTTGAATGAATAAACAAATGGGTGAAAGAGTCCCAGAGGATCAACTCCCTAGAAGCTGGTTGGAAAATGGCACCCCTTGCAGGTCCTGGTTGGAAGAGGGCAAAGTGTGTGACTCTCTGGGATCTGGCCACCCCAGCTCCTTCTCTGAATGGTTGGGACCCAGTGCTTTGCAAGTGGTGGGAGCTCCATTCCCAAGTGCCCCCAGGGCAGGGAGGGTAAGTTAGCGCTCCCAGCTGGCACGCTGGCGAGTGGGCCTGAGAGGGTCTGAGTTTATGGATTCCTAGCTTCTCGTAACTCTGCCTAATTGCCTCAGTTTCCCAAATTGTCCTCTCATTCCTGCTGGGCTTGGAGCTCTGCTTTAAACTGTGGGCTATTCCAAGCTCAGAGAGGGGCAGTGACTTGACTAAGGCTGCACAGCTAGCCATACAAATCAGCAGAGCCGGGGGAGCCTCTCTCATTCTGCAGCCAGGCTTTGTGTGGAAAGGTCCTCCCCAGCCTCCCATCAGCCCTATGAGCCCTGTTCTTTCACATGGCTCCTCAGACCATCCCCACCCCCTCGTCTTTCTCATTGTCCTCCTCTTGTTCCACATGCCTCGTGGCTGGGGTTGCCCCCTGTCTGAAAGGTAGGTATCAAAATGAAGCAGAGCTCAAGCTCCCAGTCAGGCTCACTCTGCCACTGACCAGCTAGATGTGGCCTTGGGTAAGTGACTTCACCTTTGGAAGTCAGTTCCTTCATATGTCAATGGAGAAAGATGATTTACTAGATGGATTAAATTAGGTAATATCTGCAAAATGCATGGAAGAGTGCCTGGCATGTAGCAAATTTTCAATAAATAGTAGTGATTTTCGATATTATGAAGACAAGATCTCTCTTCCCTGTGGAAAGGTTGCTTTCCACCAATGGGACTGACTTCAAGCAGGATGAAGAGTGGCAGAAGCACAGGTGTGGGAGACAGCAGGATGTGGGTCAAGCTGTGTAACCGTGGACAAGCATTTACCTTCTCTGAGCTTCTGTAAAATGGGGCCAATGATTCCTACCTACAGAGTTGTTGGGATTGGCTGGGTACCTGGAGCAGAGCCTGGCAGAGCAGGTGCTCAGTACATGCTAACACAATGCTGATTGTGATACATTCTCCTGGAACAACGGTTATTTTGATGTCACTGAGTGCCGAGATCATCCAAGGCCGGGATTCTTCATACTGCATTCCTGGAAGGTGGCAGCATGACCTCTGCTTGCCTACCTCTAGTGACAGGCAACTCATTCCCGTCTAGTTGGACAGTTCTGCTAGAAGCTGAACGTCTATGGAGTTCAAATCTGCCTTTGTGTGGGCTTCCTCTCTGCCGTCTCCAGTTCTGCCCTTGGGGCCACCAAGACCAGCTCTCCCTCCACTCTCTTGGGGCTCAGCAGCCTGCTCCTCTGAGCCAACAAGAACCAGAACGGAGGAGATGCCCAAGCAGATGCCCCACAACATCCCCTTCTCTTCCCTTCCCCACCCCCCGAAAAGCTTTCTGACCTTGTTGGCCAGGCTGGAAGGTTTGAGAGCTGGCAGGCAAGTATGGGAGATTGTCCTTGGGCACGCTAAATGGGCTGAATCCCAGGGTGGCCCTGCGGTGGAGAACCAAACACGGCAGGGCCCAGGATGGAGGCCAGAGTGTGTGCTGCCGTCTCACGGGCCCAGGTTTGAGTCCAGGTCCCTTAGTTACGACTGGGTGTGTGACAACAATTCCTGCCTCATAGGGTTTTCCTAAGAATTAAATGGTTAGAGATATCTTAATGTCTAACATGGTTTTCGGAATCTGCTAATAATCATTTTTTTGGACCCCTAATCAGTGAATGGGTTAATCTGCTCCAAAGAAAAGCTTCAAATGAGCCAAGCTTTTAAACATTCATTACTCTTTCAGCTTCAAAGTATTTAAAAAAAAATTATTTTATGCTTCTTTTAAAATTCATCAGCTTGGGGCAAGCTGGCTGCCTTAATAACAGCACTAAGGAAATGTTGATAAAGTTGTGTCAGTAACAGTCCTCCAGGAGGGAGTTTGCATCCAAACAGTCTCTGGAGCCTTCCAGTTTTCCCTGTAGGTCTTCAAGTGAGGCTGGACACCTCTAGACCCTCTTGCATGGCTGTGTTAGCCACCCTGATGTCATATCGCTGCCATCTTCCCTACAGGAGGCAGGGCAATTAAAAGGAAAGCAAGCTAAGACCGCAAAGAAAGGAGGAAGTATGTCATAACCCACCCTACTTGTGTTCCAGGCTTTGGTAAAATTCAAGGCTAGACTATTTACTTTTCCCACTTTTGTTCTCATTTCCATCACACGTTATTATACTCACTCACAGGCATAATGGAAACAGACACAGGGGAGCACACAGATGGGAGAGGAAAGGACTTTCAATCCTTCCTTTTCATTCTGGTCCTGAATGAGTTATGGAATCCTGAACTTGCAAGAAAGCTAAAAGATTCTTCAACTGAGCTGGCTGCCTGGGAGAGAGATGCGATGGTTTGAGTGTTTGTTTCCCCCGCCCCAAATTTGTATGTTTAATTCTTGATCCCCAAGGCGATAGAATTGGGAGGGGGAAGTGATTAGATCATGAGGATGGAGTCCTCGTGATTGGGATCAATGCCCTTATAAAAGAAGCCCCAGAGCGCTCCCTAGCCCTGTCTGCCATGTGAAGACACAATGAGAAGTCTGTGACCTGGAAGAGGGCCCTCCCTTGACCATGCCAGCACCCTGATCTCAGACTTTCAGCCTCAAGAACTGTGAGAAATACATTTCTGCTGTTTATAAGCCACTCAGTCTGTGGTATTTTGTTATAGCGATTTTAATGGACTAAGAAAACTGCAAGAAGGATCCCTGGAAGGATGTGGGCATCCAAGGCCCCTTGCACACTTCCTTCGTGGTGGAGCTCATTACCTTGCAGAAAGGCTCAGGAGAGGGGAAAGACCTCTGAAGCAAGAGTGAAGAAATATGAATTCTCGTCTTGCCTGCACTGCTGAGTGGCTACATTATTTGGACAAGGTGCTTCCTCTCTCTGGGTCTCCATTTCCTCACATGTCAAATCAGAGGTTTGGACTAGCTGACAACAATAATAATCTAGGAGTCATCACTGTTTGGGTGCTTTGTCTGCACTAGATTCTGAGTTAAGTGTATGACATAAATGATCCATTTTCACTCTCCCAACAACTCGAAGTTTCTTTGGAGAATCTGAGTGTCAATAAAGATCATATTAAATCTTAGGTCTTTTGTGTATCTGAAAATTATTCCAACAGTGCTTTTATATATCTGCAGACATCAGCCTCTTGATAAAGAACAAGGAATTTCCAATTAGATATGTATCAGGATTAGATGTTACCGCATGTAACAGAAATCCCAAAAGTAACAGGGGCTTAAACACACAAGGGTTTACTTTACTGCAAGTAAAGTTAGAGTGCAGGGTTGGTATGGAAGCTCCAGAAATTCACCAAGCACCCAGCTTCCTTCTATCTTTGTGCTCTGTGGTACAAAACTTCCATCCTCAAGGATATCAGGTGATCCAAGAAGACTCCTGGAGCTCCAACCATCGCAGTTACCCTGGAGGCAGCAGGAAGAGGAAGAGAGAAAGGGCAGAAAAGAGTTTGGCTCTTTGGCTGAATCAGCTCCCTTGGGACAGCCTTCCTGGAATGCTCAAAATTCACTTTCATTTTCACATAGTCGGCCAGAACTTAGTCATGTGGTCCCACCTACCCGCATGGGGAGGGTAGGAAATGTAGTCTTTTAACTGGTCACGTTGCCACCCTGAATAAAACCTTTGCTTGTAAGGAAGAAGAGAGGAAGGGACACCGGCTGACAAATGGAAGTCTCTGTTACAGATGCTTATGTGCAAAGGACTGTCTGAATAATCACAGACCAAGTGGACCATTTGGTAGACGTATTGATGTAGCAATTTGAACCTGGAACATAAAATACCAATGTTGGTACCAGTTAGGAATCTTTTGGTTGGGAGAGAAACCCCATCTCCCACTGACTTATTAAACAAGGACATTTATAAGGCCACATATTTTACTTGCAGAGGTAGGGTTAGCTTCAGGGTTGGTTGATTCAGCAACTCAACAACCTCATCAAGCCTGGGGTCTGTCCACCCATCTCTTCTCTTGTATAGGTGCTGGCTTTATCAGAGGCAGCTGGCTACAGTGGTTCCAGAGATCACATCGAGACCCAGTAATAGCCAAGCAAAGACGAGAGAACATCATTTCCAGTGACTTTCTCTTAGGAGCTACAAAATGTTCTCAAAGGCCTCTCATGGCTCATCTAAGCAATGATGACTTCTAGATTATTATTTTTATCCGTTAGTCCAACCCTCTGGAGAAATCACTGGCAAGGGGAAGGGGCAATTAAACCCCGTCTGGAGCTGGAATCAGCTTTCTTGAAGCTCGTGGTTACTTGGGGGAGTAGTAGATACCTTAACAAAATTGGGGTTCTGTACACAGGGGCCAAAGGAGGAAGCACGCTAGTAGGCAGCGAACAGTGTTCACTACAGTTTGGATACAGGTACTATCATCTCCATCTTGCAAAAATGGGATAGAGGCTCAGAGAGGTCAAGTAACTTGTTTGAAGTTAAACAGCCAATGAGCAGCAGAGATAGAGCCTGAATCAGGGAGGGTCGTCCCAGATTTAACATGCTTAGTATACTGCTCTGCAACCAGAGAATGGGGGGGGGGTCCTCAGAAATCAACTGTATCCGTGCTTCCCAAACTTCAGCCATTTGTCCACCACCTCTGTGATGTTTTTCTCATATTTACTTATATCTGCACAATGATTTATTCAATATTTTTATTTAAATAATACCACCTTTATAATTTTTCTTCACGTAAACTCACAATTTTTACAACAATTGCATTTAAAAAGGAAACTAACACACTGACATAAACAGAAAACTAGTACTGCTCGCTAGAAATAGAAAATAAATTAGAAAAAAGAAACACAGTTGAAAATAACACTCATATCTATTCTAGAGAGTTGCCTTACCTGATAGAGATACTGAGCTCAAGGTCTGCTCTGTTTCTGTTATGAAGAATGACCAGGAGTGAGGAGAGCATTAAAGACTTAACCAGCACCAAGTTGAGGCTTCCTCCTTGATAAAATGACTTAAAGAGAACGGAAAACAGCAGTGCTTCCCTATGATGCAATTCAATGCCATGCGAGTCTCCTCCACATACTTGGGAAATCATCCCACATACCATTCTTTGAGAAACCTCAACTTAGATTGCAGCCTGATGGGTTAGCGACTGCCACGTTACACTCGACAACAAGATCTCAGGGGGCACACAACAATAGCACTCATTCTCAGAGGTCTGTGGTTCAGCTGGTGCTCGGCCAATCCAGGCAGGAATTGATTAAGTGACTCTTCTGTCTAGCTGGGAACAGGGTTGGCAAAATTTTTCTGTTAACAAGTCAGAAAGTAAACATGTTAGACTTTGTGGACCACACAGTCTCCCTTGCAATGACTCAGCACTGCTGTAATGGTGTGAAAGCAGCACAGACACGACATAAATAAATATTCAGGAGTGTGTTTCAATAAAGTTTTATTTATGAACACAGACATTTGAATTTTACATAATGCCACATAATAGTATTCTTCTTTTGATTTCACACCCACATGCCACATAATAGTATTCTTCTTTTGATTTTTTTCAACCATTGAAAAATTCTTCTTTTGATTTTTTTCAACCATTGAAAAATGTAAAAACATCCTTAGCTCTAGGGCCAAATCAAAATAGGTGATGGACAGGATTTGACCTGAAGACCGTAGTTTGTTCACCCCTGGTCTAAAACAAAAGCTGTCACTGCTTCCGCCATGGCTGGCTTCCTGGGTGTATGACCTGTAAAACTGCACAGGGCCATGCACATAGAAATTATTGATCTTGAAATTATTTGCACTTTTTGAATAAGAGACCCTGCATTTTCATTTTACAGTGGGACCTGCAGAATTATGTAGCCAGTCGTGGCTCTGCTCACATGTGGGACATGGAGAACTATCCCCCAGCAGTGGCCTCACTGATGCAAACTCTCCTTGTGGTGATGGCAGAACTGCAAGAAGCTTAGTGGAAATGCCTGGGTCTGTTAACGTCTAAGCTTGGAACAGGCTCATTGTCACTTCTGTCCACATGTTTTGGCCAAAGCAAGTCGCATGGTCAAGCCCAAAATCAAAGAAAGGGGAGATACACCTTGTTCTTTTAATGAGAAGGACGAATCACATGAAAAAGAACTTGGATGCAAGAAGAATTGAAGAATTGGGGCCAATAATCTACCACCAACCCTAGATGAGTATGTTAATCATTCTGGTTGTTTGCACACTTCAGTATCAACGAACTCATTACCCAGTCCTTATGTCTATAAGTTTTATTAGTCCCCTGCTCCATCAGCCCAGGCAGAGGCAAGGACAAAAGATCTGTGTGTGTCCTGAGGTTGATTTCAGGGAGCAGCCATACACAAATAGACTTTCTTCCCTGTCTATGGGAGCAGGGAGACAAACAGCACAGACCTGATTCAATTTGTGTAGAAACAAGGGACTAGAACTCGCTGGCATTTTGAATGTATGAGCCAGCATGCCCATCTCCTCCCACAAGACTTAGCAAGCTCCCTTTCTTGGAAGGGTCCTCTTGGGGATCTCAGTACCTCAGATAGCACGCTTATGCTGAAAAAAACTGGAGAAGAAAAATGACTGGCTCGCATTCTACTTGGGGAATTCTTTCTAGGTTTTAAACACGTTTGAATAAACCGAGTGAGTCCACAAATATATATCTGATTATACCACTCCCCTGCTTAGAGTCCTTTCCTGGTTCCCACTGCCCACGCTTGGCTTTACATCATGGCCCTCTGTGACCTGGCCACCACCCGCCTACACAACTGCGTTTCCTTCCACAACCTACTGAGTGCGAACATCTGGACATACTGGCCATCTTCCACCTATAGGTCTTTGCACCCATTATCACGACCCTGGAGCTCACCAGTGTGATAAACCATCTCAAATACCTTTAAAAAGGAAAGGAAAAATTATTGGCTTGTGTAATTGAATATCTCACGGTGGAGGGAGCTTCAGTCATGCAGAGGTGCTTAAATAATGCCTTTAAGAATATGCTTTCCTCTGTGTTGGCTTCCCTCAGGCAGGCACTCCCCTCGCAGTGATCAGTAGCAGCTCCAGGGGAAGAGAAAAGTCTCTTTTCTAGACATTCCAGCAAAAGTCCCAGGACTGACTCTGATTGGCTGATAGGATCTTGTGTCCATTATTAAGCCAATGACATGGGGAGCTGGAGTGTACTAATGAATTGGCCAGTTTCAGAGCCTGTGCCTGTTCACACCTTCCCTGATTTCTGCATGCCCCTGGCTTTCTTCCCACATGACCTTCAACTGCTGCACCTGTGCATGTCCCCTCAGATCAGCTACTGGTGTGCACACCTTGGTACATACTCCATCTCCATGAAAAACCCATTACACTTGTGATTTTATGAGTTTAATAGCTTGACCAAAGGCCTGAGGGTTATGGAGGAATCACATGGCTCATAGCAGAGCCTTCTGCCTTTAGACAGGCTCCCCTTCCAAGAACACCTTTCTCTCCAGTGTGGCACTCCCCTGGGCCCAGCCTTGACTCCTCCTGTCCCCCTGAAAGGCACAGCCCCGCCAGTCCAGTCTGCGCTGACCTGCCTGCCCTCCCCCCCACCCCCCCCACCCCCCCCACTGACCTCTTTTCCTAATTCTGGTAAATAATTTACATGGTGGCAGTTCTAATAGTCTGTTGAGTCTCTCTTTCTCCTCTCTGCAGGGTCTGAGCTCCCTGAGGGCAGGGCTGTGTCCAGGTCATCTCTTTGTCTCCACTGCTTAAGACAGGGCATGGCACTGAGTAGGTGCTCAGTGGAGGCTGAATTCAAAAAACTGCTTTCAACAAAAGGTTGCATTTTTTAAAAATCAGAAAGAATTTCTTTGGCTCTGTCGGAAGCACAGAGTGTGGGTGAGTGATGATTTCAGTGGAAATGCCACGGGACGCACTGGTTCTCAATTATTTATGAGACTAAGGAGACATGTTCCCAGAGCACCGTGGTATATTCTGAGGATATCAGGGCAGAATGTGAGTGACTTTGTTCCTTAGCGTCCCTGCAACTGTATTCTGCAGATGCCAGGGAGGGGGGGCTTTTAGCTTCTTTTCGCAGCAAAAAAGAACTATCTCTTCTGGAGCTGAGTTCTGCTCCTGCCTGATTACTGCTTCTCAGTGTGCTGGCAAGGGTGGTGAGGTGAGAGTTGGACAGTCTCTGGAGACAGACAGATCTGGGTTCAAGTCCTGCTCTGCCCTGGGTCACTCTGTGCTGCTGCCTCTTTGGGCTGCCATTTTCTCATCTGTGCAATGGAGACCAGCACTACTTCCCTGCTAGAGGACTGGGGCATCAGGAAAACTCACAGTCCAACACTGGGTGCCACAGTAGATGCCCCTTCGATGGTAGTCCCGTGCTCTGTGCTGGCTAAGCTGGGTCCAGCTTGACCCTGTGTGGCTCTGAGTTCTTTGAGTCTCCCATCGGTTCAGTTTCTGGATGGAATTTTTAAAGAGATGTACAGAAGATTTGCCTTTCATTTGAACCATTGGGTAGAGGTTGTATAATGATCTGCAAGGGATTTCTCCTTGTTTATGGAAAGAAGAGTCAAAGGGTTTTCAGGCAAGACTGTGCTTTTCTCAAGAGCAGAGAGTATGTCAGTTCCAAAGACAGGAGTTGCGCTGGTCCTATAGGACATACACAGGCTCTGCAGCCAGACAGTCCTGAACCTTTACCTTGTCCTTTGGAGGCTCCAGAAGTGGCTGGGGCTGGAGGCTGTCTCTGGAGCCCTGTCCCCATTGCTGCTGGCCTGGATTTTCATCATGGATTTCCACTTTTGGGTACTTTCTATGGTGTTCATATGATGAGCAACAGAGCCTGTGACCACAGAGACATCCTGGGGTCCTGTGCTCCATAGTTTCTTAATAAGTTAGTGTTGAATGCTTTACTTGTTGAGGAAACAGCCTTGGACTTGGCATGAAATGGAGCTTGGTGCAAATTCCATGTGTGCTTGGCTCAGGGTCTATTTCCTCTGAACATCAGTTTCTTCATTTGTGAAAGTGGGTATATAACCACCGACCGTGCTGGGTGTTTGAAGTTGGAACGCCATCACAGTTGGAGAAGCACCTAACACACAGTTAGCACTCAATGCATGATGGCTTCTCCCTCTGAGTGCCCTGAAGCCTTCTTCAGAATTTCAGGAGTCTCCATTTCTCCCTTTATGCTTCCCTAAATAAATAATTTTCTCCTTAAGTACTTCCTTCTAGATAAATAAAACTCTCTTATTTAATTTGATTGTTTTCCTGTTTGTTTAATTACTACCATTAAGACGTTAGTGCTCTCTTGTATTCTCTCATGGCAAATGTGATATTTTAGCTCCGCTTTGGGTTACTGTATCTGTCAAGTTTCTGCTGTTGCTAGTATCAGAAACTTGATTCAATGTGGCTTAAGGAGAAGAGGACATTTATTGGTTTCTATAATTAAATATTCTAGAGGGTTGCTTAAGCCAAAGACAGGGCTGCATTCAATCAGACAATGGACCAGGATGCAGTGTCTGTTTCTCGGTTCTGCTCCCTGTGTCACCCTCACTCTTGGGTAGACCAGCATTGTGCTTCCGTCCTCTTCTCTCAGCAGCTCCATGGAAAGAGGTTTCCTTTCCCATTAGAGACACCAAGAGTCTTGGGTCTGGGTCCGAACGCTGCAGCTGGGGAACTGTGACATGCTGGCCAGCCCTGCTGGCTTCCGTGCCTGCAGCTGGGGGTGATGGCTCGGCCCCGCCGTTCTAACCTCACGGGCTGTGAGAGTCATGGGGTGAGTCCCAGAGGTAAATCAGGACAGGGCTCTGCTACCTGAGGCCGGAGGAATAGCAAGCAGTAGGATTCTTTTCATTTCTATTTCACAAGTGAAGAAACAGCCTGTGTCTGTGAGCAGCTAGTTCAACCCACTCTGATAATCTTACTTCCTCTGAAAGATGGGACCTGGGCATAAAATAATCAACTTATAAAGCCCTTTTTTGGGAACCAGCTTGTCTGTGTTGACTT